TGTTTGATGAGGTGAAATGGGGAAGTAGGAGGAGGTGGATCGAGTAAAGACATGTCGATGCCGTCTTCTTGTCAGTTGTTTAAAGCTCCAACTGTTGTGGATGCTGAAGCATAAGCTTCGCTTGCATTCTGTTTTTTTTTTTGCTTTTTTTTTGTTGTTGTTAGAAACTAGAAGACTGTTTTTACACAGGAGAGGTGGAATCTGCGCCCAACACATCGTTTGTTGCGGTGGACACTTGCTCAGGCCTTAGGTTTGTGTCGCCAAATGCGTTTATTTAATGCAACCTTTGGAAGCTCCTTCATTCGTCCATCGGTTCACATTATTGCTTTCAGAGGTGCAATATACTATCAAAATACCACCTTCGTGATTCTTCCGCTTCCTTGTCCGTCCTGTGACCCACAGACAGCACCACACATTGTCCTTCGATGGTCATCATCTGCAATTGCTCAGAGTGAGTTGTTCCCACCTCCACTGCCTTCATCTTGTGGATGATGAGGATGTTTTTGGTGAGCTTCTGTGCCTTTCTCTCTCCAGATGCATCAATGCACACCTTCTGGAAGCCGGTCGACCTGATGGCGATGATGCAGGCGACAGTGGATCAACGTCTAGGCGATCTGTCCAGTGTTGTGCACATAATTTGGTTGGAATTCATTGTGGATGAGAAGTTGGTAGGTCTGTTGGAAAGGGTGGAATTCCGTTGTTCTTTTTTTTCTCTAACATCACTTTTAACTCACTTCCATGAGACAGTAGAAGTGTCCTCACCCCTGATAGACTGGACACTCTTGAATTAGATTAGATTGGCTACTCTTTACGTGGAAAGGAATCGCAGCACCTTTGAAATGTACCTTCAAGTCGTACAGACTAGACAGGGCAGTTGTGAAGCATTTTTAAAGAGGTTCAGCTACGCGGATCTTCTATCCACCACCAACAAGAAGGCAACAATGGATGCGCCCACATCAAACTACTCATAATTACATTCATTGAAAGGCTTTGACTTTAACGTGTTGACAGACTTCTTCCAAACTCTTTCAGTTGC